TAAAAATATTAATTTCAAGCAAATAAATAAAAGATCATTAATTTTTTTAAATACTTTTAAAATCTAGTAAAAATTATAGCAGCATTGTATGTGTTCTTGCAAGCTTATAAGAAATGAGAAGCTGTCTGGAAACGCAGTTAAATTTATATTTTTAAAAAATTTAAAATTTTTTTATTTTTTATTTTTATTAAAATTTAATATAGTTTGTATGTTTTAGATTGTTTTGATGTGCTGAGATTAAAAATAATTTTTAAAAAATAAAAAATATTAATAATATATATTTTAGTATGAAAAATTATTTTAAAAATAATTATTATCACACTGTCAAATACATAATTATTATTTTGTTATTTATTTATTTTAATTTTTTTTATATAATGAATTTTAAGAAATACTAAAATATTAATTTAATACGCTCACGAGTAAATAAATTTAAAAAGTAATCTCTAGCGCGAACACGGAACCTTGTTTTTTTTCCCGCCTTTTGTTTTTCTTCTGTTAAAAGCAGGCGTATTCTCTCACCACTTTATTATTACTGCCAACAACAGCCAAAAAAAAAAAACCCTGAAAATGGTAGCAGTAATAATAACAAAGGTCCGTTTGCAGTGGCTGGCGGGTTCCACGAGTGCTCTTCATTTCTCAATTCTCCCTCCATTTCTCTGCAAAACCCTGCACAGAAGAAGAGGACATGGACCCCTCTTCTGCTTCCTCTCTGACACATCCCTAACAGTAATCACACATCTCTATACATTGATCTGTTCTTTTTAATTCATCTAATTCAGCATCCCCAGTTCCATCATCCGTCAACCCAGGATGAAGAAAACATTAAATAACTCAAAATCAAAACTCCTTCCCTGATCCAATTACTCCAATATCAGCCGTCTGATTCAGATCCTCGCTATTTCTTTCTATTTATTACCACTGCCATGGTTTCCACCTATTCTCTTTTCTATCAATCTATTGGTAGCCATCACTTTCTCCGTGCGCCGAAAAAGATCACTCATCTCCAAAACAATGATCTCTCCTTCTAGAATTCTTGCACAGGCACCATGAAAACTACACCGTTCCATCTCTCTTTCAAAAATTACTTTCCTTTCTCATTGCTATGGGCTGTGGAGGTTCTAAAGTGGACGATTTACCACTAGTAGTTCTCTGTAGAGAGCGCAAGGAAGTCATCAAAGCTGCCTCCGACCACCGCTACGCTCTCGCTGCTGCACACGTGGCTTCTTTTCATTCGCTGAGAGACGTTGGCGACGCGATTCGCCGATTTGTCGATGAAGGGCTCGTTATCGCCTCTTCCTCAACCGCTCCTGCCTCTCCCGTACTAACTTTACCATCTCGCGAAGGGAAATCCAGGCATGTATCGAAGAACTCCTCTACTTCAACCTCACTTTCGCACTCTATAGACACCAAAAGCAAAGACGAGGACATTGGAGATTCGCATTTGCCCTTGTCTTCCGGGTCGGATTTGGATTTGGATTCGGACTCCGTTTCAGGTTCAGGTCACATCCACATTCATGATACCCCTGAAGAAGCAGAAGGAGGAGGAGCTGTAAGAGAGATACCTTCTACTTCTTCCAATAATAATTTTAATGATTATCCCCAACCTCAAAGAAATTGGGGTTTTCCTAATTACGCAGGAGATAATCCGTATCCTAACCCGTATCCGTATTCATACTCGTATGAGAATTCGTATGCAAATACGTATTATATGAAGAGGTCTGCTACTCCGGCTAAAACGGTGGTGTATGAGGATCCTTCAGTAAATGGGTACTCTGATGGCGGGTCGGGTTATTACGCAGGTGGGTATTTTGGGTACCCGATGATGACTTCACCAACAAGGAAGCCAAGTCCTGAGAAGCCACCACCGGTGCCCCCATCACCACCAAGAGTGTCAACATGGGATTATTTCAACGTGTTCGATGCATACGACAACGGTGGTAGCGGTGGGTATCCAGATTATCATCCGTACGCGAGATACGGATATGGGTCGAGTACAAGTAGTCCAGATTCGAAAGAGGTGAGGGAGAGAGAAGGGATTCCTGATTTGGAAGATGAAACGGAGCAAGAAGTAATAAAAGAGGTTCATAAAGAGAAGAAGAAAACGAGTGAAGAAATGGATTTGAATGGAAAAATGAAGTTTAATGAGGAAATGATGAGGGATTACGGAGAAGGTACTTCAAAGTCAGTGCATATAGAAAGCAGTAGTGAGAGTTTAGAGTCTGTTAAAGGTAAAGGAATCAATAACAGTATGAGTCCGAACACGATTCAGAGTCCTGATAGTATTGTTTCGAAGAGCCCTGAAGAGGGGTCTGTTAGGAAAAAGGGGGTTAGTTTTGAGGTTGAAGATGCCTCTAATTTAACAGTGGAAATTGAGTCTTCCAAGCCTAGTGGTGTTCCTACTACTACATTGTCGGCTCATGGTACAAGGGATCTTCAAGAGGTGGTGAAGGAAATAAGGGACGAATTTGAGACCGCTTCTGGTTATGGGAATGAGGTTGCATTAATGCTTGAGGTGAGCAAGTTGCCTTACCAGTGCCAGCAAAGAAGCTCCCTATTTAAAGGTTGGATTTTTTTATTTCATTTTATTTTTTTTGTTATGTTTGTTTCAGTGGTTTTCTAGTTTGTTTCTGAGGCATGTGGTCAAATTTCCGTTTGGGTTCTTTTTGTTCTGATTATTTTTTTGTGAATTGTCTATCATACTTGCACGTACCATCACAGTCAGGGTGAAGTTTTAGAGTAAAATAAAATTATCAACTGAATGGTTATATTTCCTTGAAGAATACTCATAGGAGATTTGCTCTTTGACCCCAAATATTCGATATGATACTAACTTGAATGTTAATTTTAGTGCCATGTCTTTTCCTCGTCCCTTTGATGGGTTCTGCTGAGAATGCTTGCTGTTAAAGCGCCTCATTTCCGTCGTTTTTTGAATTTGAGTATTTATCAGATACAATAATCTTGCCACTCAAGTAAAACTGACATGCCTTGGTGCAGTGATTCTTTCCAGGATCCTGTATTTGGTGTCTTCCCACCCTCCTGCAAGGCCATCAGTACGCATTTCTTCTAGGACAATGAAAATGGCAAAATCTTACCCCTTGGAATCTGGAAATGACTTTGACATGAGGCGGAGAAACCTATCATCTACTCTCCAGGAAATTTACGCTTGGGAGAAGAAACTATACAAGGAAGTGAGGGTATGGGGCAATGATGTTGTGGGTTTCTTCTTTGGTTGCCGTGATTTTATTTTTCTAATATTCACTTAATAATTAAGTTTGAGTTTAATGCCTGTTAAAAGGCATCCGGTTCATAAACTTGTACAAGGAATTTTTTTCTTGTGCCACCAACAAACTAGCTTGTTTGATATGGAATGTCAACGTATTTTGCATTCCATACAGTAGATATTGTTCAGTGTTTGTTTTGATCGGAGTCTTTGATGTATAGTACAATTTGTTCAGTGTTTGTTTTGATCAGAGTCTTTGATGTATAGTACAATTTAAACGTGCCTGCTGATGATATTGAAAGAAGAAAATTATGCTTTGGGGAAAAAAATTGAAAATTTTCAAGAATTAATTTGTCTTTATATGATGGAAGATGTCTGAGTATTAATCATTGTGCTGCTACTTTAGTTGCTGTTGGATCTTTCTTATCAAGTGAAGTATTTATGTGGATGTTTAGGATGAAGAACGGCTACGGGTCATCTATGAAAAGGAGTGCAAAAGGTTAAAAATGTTGGATGACCGTGGAGCAGAGTCTAGTAAAATTGATGCTACCCAGGCTTCGATAAGGAAACTGCTGACAAAAATCAATGTGTGTATCCGAGCTGTTGATGCTATATCCAGTAAGATACATAGGTTGAGGGATGAAGAATTGCAGCCTCAGATCACTGAATTGATTCATGGGTAAGTTTACTGCTGTGCTCCTTGGTCTTTTCAATGCTAATCAATTTGGGGTTCACAACTTGCATGTCTTACACGAAATATACCTGAGGTTTTTGGGGCAAATGTGTGGATGGTTAGTCCTTGGGGACTATCACTTGTCATTTGTCCATAAAAGGATATGGTGTCTGCTAGGTTTACTCAAACCAGTGCTGGTATGCTGACGATCTCACTCACCATCTATGCCTCTTATGCTGTGTTGAGATACCTGAGTTGGTAAAATGACCTTTATTGTCAGTCTTTATGATAATGCATTCAATAAACTGGTTATTGAGTCTTGTTTTCTCCTTGTTCGCTGAAGCATACTGGTTATATGCACTAGTAGAGGGCATTTCTGTGTTTTGGACCTATTAATCCTCTTCATTTCTAGCTTCTACTTGATTTGGATGTCATCTTCTACTTTTTTACGGATTTGTGAAGTATTTCATCCTAAGTTTTGATAATCCTTTGCGCTTTTTTTTTGTGGCTCTAGCAGAAATTGTAAAAGTTAGGAGACTTTCTGATTCCTAGTGCTGTAGGCATGCCTGTTTAGTGTGGGTGAAGTATGATTGGAAGATGGAAGAAAAGACCAGTGCATATGCATATCTTTTTTGTGCTGTCAATTATTTGATCACTAGTGTTTTGCATTCTTCCATTTTCATATGATAATGGACTTCTATTAGCAGGTTGATCAGAATGTGGAAGTCCATGCTCAGATGTCACCAGAAGCAGTTCCAAGCTATTATGGATAGCAAAGTTCGCTCTCTAAAAGCACGGAGAGATTCTGGTTTGAAAGCCACAGTTGAACTTGAAGTGGAGCTTATTAATTGGTGCGCCTGTTTTAACAATTGGATTAACACCCAAAAATCCTATGTGGAGTCATTAAATGGGTGGCTGTTAAGGTGCCTTAACCAGGAACCTGAAGTAACCGCTGATGGGATTGTGCCCTTCTCCCCAAGCAGAATTGGTGCCCCACCTATTTTTGTAATTTGCAATGATTGGTACCAAGGAATTGTTAGGATTTCTGAGCAGGAGGGGGTTGAAAATGCCATGCTTGGTTTCACTTCAAGCTTACATCGGTTGTGGGAACGGCAAGATGAGGAGCAGCAACAAAGGATCAAAGCAGAGTACCTTACAAGGGATTTTGAGAAACAGCTTAAAACCTTGCAAATGGAGAAGGGAAGGATTGAGCAGGAGCGTGGAATCTCACCTCTAGATAAAACCATGTCAAAGGTTTCTTCAGAGAGTGGAATCTCACCACTAGATGATCTGAAGGTGGATTTGGATTCAATGAGGAAGAAATTGGAAGAAGAGAGGGCAAGGCACAAGGAAACAGCCAAATCAGTCCATGATGCAGCTTCCAGTAGTTTACAAGCAGGTTTGGTCCCAATTTTTCAGGCTCTGGGCAAATTCACTTCCGAAGTTCTGAAAGCTCATGAAGAAGTTAGGCTTTGAGATGCTGGTGGCCCATAGGAAATGCATCAGCAGCTATGTTGAAGGTCCTTGAGGGAAAGTTACCCTGCTTTACCTGGATCAAGTAACAATTGGAAAAAGGTTAGATTCGTAAGGAAAGTGAAGGAAGATGAATAAAGCAAATATGTACCAGAAAGGATTTGGCACAACGGTTAAAATTACTTGGATAAGATAACGGGAGTGCAATATGGAATTTGCTTAGAGAAGCTGGAGGTTTTTGGGGAAGAAATATGCGTGAGAGGCAAGTCAAACCGTTGTTTCCGTTTCAACTGGTTCTGCCCTAACCCTTGAGTAGATGATATGTAGGAATTTGTACAGAAATTCATTTATTGGTTGATTGGTTGTTGATGGATGTATTTGGTGCCAACTGAACTGATGGGATGGAGGATTCAGATGGTCTGAGTAGGCTCTTCGAAGTATAATTTTTATTTAATTTTTTTTTGAATGAAGTACTTGGTAATGAAATTGAGGAGCCGTTTTGACTGCCATGTGAGTTGTTGATTGCACCTGAATTAATGATTTGTGTGATTTTCTTTTTACAAGGATCCAGTGATGCATGTACATGGAGTGCAAAACGTTCCAGTGCTATCTTGTTTAATAATCTTCTGTTGAACAAGATGCTTGGCGTCCAGTTTCTGTTGGATTTCCATCCTCAAGTGGTTAATAGAATGGCTGTTGAAGGCTGCTGGAGTTTCTCACTCTACAGAATCCATCGTCTTCTGGAAATGCTGCGGGTAATAGGTGGATGCATGTTTAAAGGGCGCAAATTTCTGCGTGCGTGTTCGTGCAGATTTAGGAGGACGAAGACACGTGGTGTCTTGGAGGCCTCCTTCCTGCTTGTGTTGAAAGCTAGAACGTGTCTGTATCCTATAATCACTGGTGGTGTTGTACATATATAAATTTTATTGAAATAAAATAATATTTTTAGTGTAATTTCTTGTTTTCTTATCAATTTATTCTTTACTAACAAAATATAGTTTTTTTTAGATATGTTCTTTATATCAATTAGAATAAATTGAACAATTAAAAATGCAATTTTTCATACGAATTTAAGAAAAGCTATGTTGTTGCTTTTTGGCTTTTAATCTGTTTTTTTTTCCCCTTTTAATCATGTATTCACGCGACAGATCCAAACTATATCTTATTAAATTGGTGTCTGATCAAGTTCTAAATCTAAACAAATCCTTTAATTCTAAAAGATATACAAAAAGAATAAACTATAAACTCACAAGAGACCACAAGCAACACGCCACAATAAAATTACCGCACGAACTAGTTTTTTTTACAATTATAGTAATACTAGCTGTTCTCGACAATATATTATTGAGTAGTTTTAATAATCTATTTATATTTTATTATGCTGCAATTAAAAGAAATATTCATAAAAAAAGTAACAAATTATTGAGAAAAAATATATTTTTCATGCAATTTCTTCCTTTCTTATTCATATATTTCTTTCTTATGATAAGAACATGCTTTTTACGAGCAACATTTTTTTTAATAAGAACTAGAGGTAGTTAATATAAGTATTTGTAAAAACTTCAATCACATTAATTAAGATGAAAAAATGTATCTCTTGAGTCAACATTCCATTTATTTATATATTTCTTTCCATATTTTTATTTTGATAGAAATATATTTTTGATATAAAAATATATTGTTTTTATATAGAAACTTGTCATGAAAAGTAATTTTAATTAAAAAGACATCAAAAATCAAAAATCAATAATTCATATGTGATAGAAGGGAAAAAAAATAATCCTAGAAAATTATGAAAAAAATGCAATAAAAATTATATTTCACCACCATTGAATATTCATGAGCATTTGTTTTTTAATTTTGCATAATGTGTTCATTTATAGTAACTCATAAAAATAATTATTAATATTATCCTTAAAAATTATATTTTTTTGAAAACCACGAGGGAATTGGATAATATTATAAATACTATTTAAATTTTTTTATTTATATAAATTTTATTTTATATAAAAAAAACAAACAACATAATGTTTAAATTTTAGCCACTTTAATAGTTGAAATGTCAGGATACAAATTTAAAACCCCATAAAACTTATTTTTACTTGTTTCCACGTGTGAAACATCTAAACACATTATAATAACTTTACCAAACTTATTTTAACCCCCAAAACATCTTTTATCTGGTTTAAAGACTAAAATTAATTAGAATAAAAAAAACCTTCTTGATAGTGGATTTGCTTTTTCTATGAAAAATTTAAACTACTTCTATGAAATTCTTCTTTGCAAGAGAACCCACGAACTTGAGATTAGTTTTTCTCGTGGTTGGAACGTGGTCGACTACCGACTTTTTCTTCTTATTTATTTTTTAATGATTTTTTATTTATTGTTCCAACATTTAGGGGCTAAAATGTAAAAATAAAAAAGTAAAAAGTTGAAATAAAAATTTATAAGACTCTAGGAATCAAATAATGTGTAAATTAAATTTTGGAGGACCAGATTAAAGTTTTTCATGCCGTTTAAACAATGGGCTCTATTTTTTATTTTAGTTCTTATTCTTTTATTTTTTAAATTATAATTTTAAATTCAATCTATTAAAATTTATCTTTAATTAAAAGTCAGCAAATCTCAATTAGAAAAACTAGTAGCGTAGTATAACTCGTGAGCAACAAATTATTTCTGAAAAACCGAATTGTCCAAGAAACCGCGTGGTCGTGTATTGTGATACAGTAACGTACTAGCGTATTCTCCTAGCTACTCCGAAATAATTCGGCAGGGCTCATTTGAGGATTCGATCCGAAGACATCTGAGACCTCAACAGTTCGGATGCTGTTTTATTCTTTGGAAAATGAAGATAAAAAATAAAAAATCCCAGTATTGACACGAGAGAGGCCCTGCAGGTCTTTACGCCTCGCTAGTTACCTCTCCTCGTTGACCGTTGGATGGGATCTAATTCATCAGCATCAACCGTCCACGTAAAAAAGCAGATCAATTTCATCTTGCCCTTCAATCTGTCCGTACACGCCCGAATGTCACTGGTAAATTATTTGGACAGCCAAGATATCGGTACACTAATTTTAACCTTGTCTCATTCAAATACACAGATTTTAATTTTATTTATTTGAGTACACTTTTCTCTCTCTTCAAAACTACCGGTCAAACACTGTAGAATCACATGATAAAAGTTTACTTGGTTAGAGTAGTAATATTTAATTTTACCAGCAATTTATTTATTATTGTATAATAGTTCTCAGATTTGATGTAGGTGGCTTGTCGTTTATCTGAACAGAGAATCAAATTTAGCACAACTCTTTTTTTTTTTTTTGCCATCAAGAAAAAATATAATTGCACATTAAAAAATTAATATATTTTTTGAATAAAACAGATTAAAAATTATATGTATCAATAAATAATAATAAATTTATTGATTCCAATTAAAGTTAAGTTGAAAAGCTTGGATAAAAATGTGTACAAAAATATCTAATCTTATGTTATTTGGAGCTCTTTAGTTGTTTTTTTTAATTAAATTATACAAAACAAGATTGTTTTCTGCTAGAAAATAAATAATTTAAAATCCATCAAGGAAAATTCTAGTATAATTCCTTCTCTTTTTATTAATATATATTGTCAGATTTTTTTTTTCATGGGTTCTTAAATTGATATATATATATATATATAAAAAAAGAATACAAGTAAAAAATAGAATTTTTTTTCTCATTGATATATATCAATGAGAAAATTAAATTTAGATTTGAAGTTATCAAATTATAATTATCCACAAAAAAATTATTAATATTACGAAAAACAACAATATTGTTTTTTTTAATCAGGAGCACAATTTAATAGTAAAAGGGAGCAAAAATTAAAATAAATTTTAGTTGAAAATTTAAGCGAAACAAGTCGGCAACATGTATTTTTCAAATCTAAATTTAATTTTCTTATTAATATATCTCTTGAATATTCAAGTGAAATAATATTTTTTTAACCACAATTACTATTTTTTTAAAAAAAATCATTTTTGTCAATGCAAGTTAAAAGAATATGTATCAAGATAACGTGACCCTGTTTATTATTATTATTTTTCTAATTTTGTCAGTGCCAGTTATGGATAGTGAAGCCTTAACTTTTTTTTTTTTCCTACCGCAAACTTTGTTAACATCTTTTATTTTAAATTAAATTAAATTAAATTTTATTTAATGTAATATTATCTTGAAGGAAATTCTTCCAAAAAAAAGTTCCACGATAAAATATAAAAAATCAGAAGAAGTTTTTTTACAAGATGCACCTACTATCTAAGACATCTAAAAAATTGGAGTATCAGAGCAAGAAATTATAATAAAATAAAATTCATATAGGTGACAGAGAAAAGGGTGAAAAATGGCATCCTAACGTTGTAATTAACCCAGTCATTAGCATCTAATAATCGCAATAAAGCAAAATTCCTTGAAAAAAGATCGGAGCCGTTTACAAAGAGAGACTTTTTACAGATAAAAAAGGAGAATCAAAGTTTTTTTAAAAAAACAAAGAGGCCCAATCCCATACGTTTACACTGGAAGAAGTAGAACCTCAGCAACAAATCACGTGGACCACTGATTTAAAAGTTTAGAATGTAGCAGCTGACGTTTTCTTATTCAATTCGTTCAAACTATCCCCATCTATACTCGCGGCACCACTGAGATATTACCAGCCTAACCCATACCACTCCCCCAGGGAAAAATCAAGGATACAAGATATATACTTACCTTAATATATTCAACTTACCAAATATCGACGCATGACGCGACCAAACCAATGAAAACCATCCACCTGGATCAGGCCACCACAGACAAAGCGAGTAGGCAGGAAAAAAAAAAAACAATTACTCGAGAAGCTAAATATATAAAAATATCTGCAAAAGAAGTCACATGCTACTTCCATGCTTGTCTCGTTCTCTTGCTACTCACAGGCCTCCATAAAACACTGTATCCACCTCAATTAGAAGAAGAAAGTCGAAACTCCCTCTCAACCGCCCAACAATGGCTTCTACGGTTTCGTTCTGGTCCTGTATATTCCTCCTCTCTCTAATTGTAGCGCTCTCTGCTGGAGAGGATGAATCAAAGGAGTACGTGTTGACTCTAGATCACTCCAATTTCAATGAGACCGTTAGCAAGCACGATTTCATCGTCGTCGAATTCTACGCTCCTTGGTACACACTAAAATTCAATTCTGCCTGCCCTTTTCTCTTGGTTCTTTCTCCATTTTTTTATTTAAATATGGTTAATCGTGTTTGTTCTTATGGATCTCGTTTTTTTATGCTTTATCATGTGATTCTTGATCTAATGTTAGATCTAGTAATTTGTTGGTTTTATTTT